AAAGTCCATGGTCGCTGGCGCCGCGCCCCGCGCCCCCACAGCCGCCCGCCGCCGCCCTCCGCCGCAGCCGCCGCCCTTGATGTGGTTCGGGGCCGGGCGGGGGAGAAGATGCCGCCGTCCAAGTCCCGCAAGATCGCGATCCTGGGCTACCGGAGCGTGGGTGAGCGTGGCGCGAGTTCCGCGGCGGGGGTGCGGGCGGGGTGCTCCGGGTGCCGCCGCATCGCCCTCCCCCGCGGCGGCGGCAGGTGCAGCGGAGGCAGCGGCGCTTCCCGCCGCCCCGAGCGCGCAGCCGCGGCCCGAGGGAGGGAGCGAGGGAGGCCCCGCCATGGCGGCGCCGCAGAGCTGCGGGCCCGCGGCCGCCGTGCCCTTAATAGGAAGTTTCGCCCCCCGCGCTCCCCGAACGCAGCCCGGAAAAGCGGGATCGGGGGAGCTGCCTAGAGGGTTCCTGCTCCGCCGGCTTTGCTGTGCTGGGGTCCAGCTCCATGCAGCGCTCCGTATGGAGCGAGCCCGGGGAAGGGCAGCGGAGCTGGGGAAGGGTCTGGAGCGCGTGTCCTGTGAGGAGCGGCCGGGGGCGCTCAGCCCGGAGGACAGGAGGCTCAGGAGGAGCCTCACGGCTCTCCACAAGTCCCTGACAGGAGGGTGCGGCCAGGTGCGAGTCGGGCTCTGCTCCCGGGCAACCAGCGATAGGACATGAGGACACGGTCTTCAGCTGCGCCCGGGGAGGTTTGGGTCGGACACAGGGAGAATTTGTTCTCAGAAAGAGTGATCGGACACTGGAATGGGCAGCCCAGGGAGGTGGTGGAGTCACCGTCCCTGGAGCTGTTTAAGCAAGGACTGGACGCGGCGCTCAGTGCCGTGGTTGACACGGTGATGGTGGGTCCCTGGTCAACCTCAGAGCACTTTTCGAGCCTCGGTATTTCTGTGATTTAGAACCAGTTTTAGATGCTGGGGAGGCCAGGCGGGTGTGTTGCCCGTGTCTGGCCTGTTTCTGCCCCCGTGGAGGTGTTCCTGCGGCAGCAGCGCAGCCGCTGTTCCCCAGGGCCGCCTCGGCTCCGGGCTGTGCCCAGCACTGCTGGGACAATCCAGCCCGGGCTCATCGCTGGGACCATCTTCCTGGAAGCGTCCAGCACGAGTCTGTAGCAGCTGATAAAGGGTTTTGTTCCGTATGAAAAAGTGTGATCTTTTCTCCTGCATTTGATGGAGAACGGTTTCAGATGTTTCAGCATTCGGGTTCTTGAAGCAGAGGGGAACAAGCTGTAGTACAGCCGCTGCTAATCGATCAAACTTAAAAGCATAGATCAATGTGTAAGATAATGTGTGGTTGGGGGGGGAAAAGGATGCTACAGAGAGATACTACTCTGCTATAAATGGGGTTTTTACATTGAAAACAGTTACTATATCAGTAATTTGTCTTACATGGCATACAGTATAAAGAACCCTTTAAAAAAGCTTTTTTCAGTATATAAAAGTGGGCTAAATAAGGAGAGGGCTAAATAATAAGAGTGGGCTAAATAAGGAGAGGCTAAATAATTTTTCTTGCATTTTGTGCATAGTTGCAGCCAGGTTGGTGTTAAAAGGATGATGAATTTGTCCAGTTCTTAAACAGAACAGTGCGTAGTAGATTGATCAGTTTGCACAGTCTGTATGACATCACTTGTTGCAGTCTGTTCATTGTCCTGTGTGCTATGTTTTCTTTCTTCTTTGAGCACTGGTGGGAGCAAAGCAATGGGCAGTGTAAGTGGGAAGGGGGAAATGCTTGAAATTCTGTTCTTTGGAAGTCTGTGGTGGGGACTGGGTGTACTGTTGAGCTTTGGTCCTTCGTCTGTTGACACTGACAAGCAGCAGTTAGGAAATCTGATATTAGTGGGGTGTAAGACCAGTCGAGGAGAAATAGAGAAGTAGTATAATGTTGTTAGTTTGGTTGGTGATGTAAGCAATAGTATTCATGGAAAGGATGGCCAGAAAGTTACCTAACTGTTAAGACCTACTGCTGAACTTCTTTAGCTAAAGTTTTCTGGGACTAGTATGGAATTTGCCTTGATAGGACAAGACCAGTTTTATTAGGAGAGCTTCAAATTGTATGGACATAAAATTAAGTGGGGACGGGGGGTGGATCTGGTTTACTGGAATTTTCCCTTCATTGTCATTTAATTTCTTGGCAAATACTTAGGTAAAAGTTCAAGCAGTAGAAATGGGCCATTGAGGTCCTACTTCCATCTTGTAAAGCTGTTAGAAAAGCAGGAAGGTTAACCTGTGGGATTTAGACTGTGCTCTGCTTCCCCAAATATCCCTCCTAAAGTGTAGTAGCATGGGGACTCAGTTTGGCTTCAAGGAAACTTTTGATTAAGACTTGCTTTGTATTATGATGGCAAGAATATCACTTGAACCCTGGATAAGAAAGGATGTAATTCCATTTTAGGACAAGTGTTTGGGTGGTAGAAAAGGAAGTACGTTTCTTTTGGAGGAAATGCTGCATTGTATAGAGGTAATGCTCATTAAAGTGGGGAATAATTCCAGAATCTGAAGGACTGGAAGGAAATGCTTTCTACATTTCCTTTTGTAATTCGGGAACAACATTGTTTTGCCATTAACATTAATCTTGACCCTGGAATTAGGGAGGTTAACTTTGGTGAGTTGTAAGATGCTTGCAGTTTCATAGGTTGGCTCTAAATGCTTAGGTGACCTGCTCTGGGAAGCTGGGTGCTCCCCCTGTAACTGCAGGGTTTGAGATTAAGCTGTCAAAAAACGAGGAGCTCTTTTTCCCATGTCTCTCAGGTGCTGAAATTACCAGGTTTTGATGATGTATGTCAAGCAGGGAGCTTTTCCCTACAACTGTTGATTCAACAACACCGTGGGTCTCTCAGGTTACAAGTGTGTACAGTGAAGGGTGGGCACGCCCTCCCTGGGGATTTGTGAAACAGGGTCTGAAAATTGCCCTGGATTCGTCCTAAGGCCTTGTTTATTTTACTTACATTAAATTTTAATCTTATCCCGGTGCTGTTGTCAGGTAAACTGGAGGTTGGGAGTGGTATTCTGGTATAATCGTTCTCAGAATAGAAAATTCAGGAGTCTGCTTGTTTGAATACACTCCCTCTATCTTTCAACACCGCCATCAAGCCTTTCATATGTGAAACTCTTATTCTTTGCTGATGGGAGAGATCACAGTGGCAGCCTCGTGAATTCCCAGGCAGTCATACTTTCTGAGATGCAGACAGAGTATTTGCCAGCAGCTTTAGGAGTTGTTTTTTGGTGAGGAAGACTATCTGTGGATATAGCGTGCAGGTTGTGGCATGACGTGAGACAAAATCACGCAAGAATGTCTCTGTTGGGTTTTGCTCAGGCTTAAATTGGTCTAAGAAAGTTAAATTCCATTATGTAAGTGTGCTTGTCTCAGCAAGGTTCTGAGTAGAAATCAGATGGATTTCATCCCAAGATCTGAGTTTCACAACAGAGGAACTTGACTTCCATTACTGTTAGCTGGGAAATGACCAGAGTGGATCAGCTGTTTGAGATTTGATTCTGGACGAAATCTGTCTTGTGCGTGATGAAGCATAAAATTTTATAAAGTTACTGCCTTCATTAAAAAGAATCTTCGTATTTGTGTTTTGGTCATAACTTAATATCCCAAATATAATTGGAAGTAATGGATTTGCTTGGAAATTAATCAAGCAGGACTAAGATTTTCTGAATCTTTTTAGAGTAACAGCCTCTCTAAAAGCAGGGTAGAGTCGCCAAAAATGCTTTGTGTTCAATTTCATTCTCTGTAGAACAGATGTGCAAATTCAGACCACAAATGCCTGTAGGAAAGAAGTTTCTTAGATCATCTTGTAAAGTACCTTATTACTGGGATTCTCTGTGTTCTATTGAATGGATGGATTTAAGATAAGCAGGAAGGTATTGTTTGGATCAGCTCCTTCAGTTGCAGGTCTTTATCTCAGCCCAATTTCTTTTGTGCTGTTTGAATAAGTTGTGCTGCTGGTTTTACAGATGTACTTGCAGAAACAGGAGTTCTCTTTCTGAATTTTACAAGTTTGGACTGGTCACCTGAAAATGCTGTCCTGGGCACTTTATGGCTCTGAGGGGAAAATCCAGTTTAATAATAGGGAACTTACCTATTTTCTTCCCTGGATAAATAAATCAACTTCTTTTGTGTGTGTAGGTGTAGAGCAGACCATGCTGCAGGCAGAAGTAGTCATGGTCTGGCTGCAGCATGCAGGTATCAAAAAAAACTGTGATGGAACAAAATGATCTGTCAGGATTAGATTTGTATGGAAAGGCTTCCAGGTGATTGTATTCAGCTGAAAAAATGCCTCTGCCCCCTCCACTTTGCTTGAAAAGCAAGAAGGCAGAAAAAACAGTAACTTCGATATGAACCTGTAAATAGTAAAAATAATTGTTGTGGCAAAACGTAGTTTGAAAACACGAGTTGTGTGGATATCAGGAGGTTAGCACTGTAAAATGGAGCTGGGGCTTTGCTGTTCGTGTCTGAAAGATGGCATCTGCTCGCACAGCAGCGTTCCGCCCCGAGCAGGGATCCCTCTGGGATTGGACGGGGAAGTGGTAATTTTAGCAGGCGATAAATTGCCCGTGTAAATGTCAACAGAGGAGGAATGGAGAAATTACCGCTGTCGTGTGCTGTAATTTGGTTTACACAATCGGCTGTGTCCGCAACATGGGAAAGCCCGAGATTTACCAGGAAAATTGAGCGCTTCGGGAGCCAGCTGATATGTAAGGTTACGTTTTGCTGTCCCTTGTAAAGTGCCAAGATGACTTCCACAGCCCTTCCCTCGCCAGGGCCGCAGTTGGCTCTGCCAGGGTGCGGCAGTGCTGGAGGAGGAAAGGTTGCAGCTCCCAGGGGACGGGGATGAGGCTGGAAATGCCGGCTTTAATTGCATTTCGGTGTTAGCGGCTGCAGCAGGGAAAGTTGCTACAGAGCCTTTGATAGCAGTAGCTGGAAGCACTAGAGGCAGCATGTTCAGCTGTAATATCAAGCCACCGTAGGGTTATTTGAGGACACTGCTCGAGGATTAACTCTTAAATTGCCTGCTCTGATCTGTCAATGGCAACGCTTGCACGTTTTGCTTGTATGTATGGGGGCGTTTTGGTGTTTGATTACACAACTTGAAGTTAACATCGACAGGAAAAGCTAAATGAAATGTA